TCCAAAATTTAAGTTCAAGGACAAGTTACTGGGGAAAAGGATTTCTATTTTTGTTTCAACAGGAAATAAAAAGCTGTGGATTCCTTCCAGACTAATGTGGTTTGATCAAGCCAGGCCCCCTGAAACAGAGTCGCTGGTGATCCAACATTCAAAACAGCTTGGATAAAGCAGCCTTGCAGACTACAACCAGGATTTCTGCATCTTCTTAGGATTCCCCCATGACAGTGCCCTTTGCCAGCAGGAAGTAGTTTGGAAAGAATGACGCCCAAATTCCCAAATACTGTTTATAAATGTTTGTTTTCATTTAAATGGGGTTGGTTATAAATGGTTAATGATCACAACCAATATTGTTTTAAAGGTAAAAAGGGGATTATGGTATAGATATGAATACTTTGTTTTGGAATGGATTTTCATTTATTAATACAAATTTAAGGTCAATTTTGTGATCTGTATATTTCTCCTCTTGTTTAGGTATTGTGTTTATGTAGCTCATTTAAAAATGTAATGTATAATTTAGTACAGATTGTACATAGTAACCTCTAATAGTCAAAACTTATAGCTAGATTTAGGTTTTCTAGATATGCAGAGATGTATTTGAGATAGGTAGGCATTCTTCAAACCTTTCAAAGACCTACAGAATATGGCATTTAAAATGGTTTAGGGTTTTCGTGACAGTGAGACATAATTGCTCTTGGCAACATCACCTGCATCAAAAAGGAGGATGAAGATGGACATTGAAGAAACTCGTTATGAAGTTTACTTCCAATATGGCAAGACTAGCCAGCCATTTGGACAAGATACTGCTCTTGTCTGGACTGTTTGACTTTGTGCTATATAAACTGGACATGCAGGACCCACAGAAAAGTGATTGCTGATTCAAGATGGACATTGCTGTAGAGTTCCTGCTTCATGGAAGAGTCTGCCAGACAGTCTGCAGGACACAGAAAAAAGTGACGGACAAACTGCCAATACAAGAAGACAGTTTAAAGTCTCCTGCTTTGCTGAAGAGTCTGCCAGACACACTATGGCCTATGGGCTGAAGATGGAAGATTACAAAAGAACTTCGGGTGACCAGGCAGTGAGTTGTCTCTGTCATTTCTAGAGTTTGTGTACTATCCTTCTATGGTCTTTGAAGGAGTTGAAGACAGATAGTTATGGTTATAGTTTTCCTTAGTTAGGATTCAATGATAAGGTACATATAGGACTTTAGACTCACAAGATAAAATAGATGATGGAATATTTTCTTAAATCTTACTAAATGTTAATGGACTAAATATTGTTAACTGTGATTCTTATTGGATAACTGTTATGTGATATATTTTGCTATGTGAAGGTTAAAACGCTTCTTTTTATTTAGACAGAAAAGAGATGATGGGAGATGCCATTATGTATATATGTTTCTCATACTGGTTAATAATAAAGCACTGTTGGCCAATAGGAAAGGAAGATAGGAGGGACTAGGAGACAAGGAGGAAATAGGAAGTAGTAAGGAGGGGGGCGAAGATGGAGAGTCTGGAGAGAGCAGTATGTGGCAGCCGGCTCCCGGTAAGAAGAACACGTGGACATACATAGATTAACACAAATGGGTTAATACTTAAGACAGAGCTAGCCGATAATAAAGTAGTAACTGGCCAACAGTATAATATCTAATACAGAGTCTCTGTGTATTATTTGGGGCTGGCGCGGCGGCGGGACAAGACCAGGCGGCGGGCAAAAAAACTGTACATTCGTTTGATTTTTGAGACAGGCTGTCAGTATGCATCTCTGGCTGGCCTGGAACTCCAAGAGATCTTCCTGTCTCTGCCTCCTGAGTTCTGGGATAAAAGGAGTGCACCACCATGCTTGATTGACATCCATTTAAGAAAGTATTTAGTTTTGCTTCTATTTATGTGTCCATGCATTTATGTGCAGTGTGTGTTGATGTGGAAGTGAATGCAGGTGCTAATGGAAGTCAAGAGAAGGTGCTGGATATCCCTAGACCTAGTTATAGGTAGTTAAGTGGGTGCTGAGAACTGAACTCAGGTCTTCTGCGAGACCAGTACAAACTCTTAACCACTGAGCTATCATTTTAGCCCGCCCACTTCCCTGTTTATTATCATTAGTTTTGAGATAGGGTCACATGTAGCCCAGGCTGGCTTCAAATTCTCCATGGAGTCAATGACTTTGAATTCCAAATCCTTATCTCCTACCTGTACCTCCTAAGCACTGGGAAAAGATGCTGGCACCACCATGTACACGTCCATTTTATGAGGTGCCAAGGATCCAATCTGGGACTTCTTGCATGCTAGGCAAGTTCTCTACCAATTGATATACATCCCCAAGCTCTCCACATCCCTGTCATTCATGTCTAAGACCTGGTTAGCCACAGACTCTTACCCTTTCTGCACTGCACTGCACTGTCCCACCCTCTGTGCTCCTCATCCTTCACATCTTAACCATCTCATTGTGTAGTCTCCCCCCAAAATCGCCCAGCCACTCTGTTCCTCCCTACCCTAGGGCTCTGGGATCCTATGTGTTTAAGTTAAGCCTTGTTTCCTCCTAACATGCTTGTGACAGTCTCAAAAGCTCTTGCTGGATGGACACACCCTAAGGAAAAAGATCCAAGTTGCCCAGTTAGTTTTCAGGCACCCTGAATCATCTGATATTTCCAACCTCCTCTAAACTCACTCAGCTCTGCCAAAATTCATTGAGGCCCACTCTCAGAATGGTCTCAAGTCAGAAAAACAGAAAAAGACATGAGCTCTATGGATATAGTGTTTTCCTACCATTCTCAAGGCCCTAGATCCCATAACCAGCACTGCATAAACTGGTTATAGTGGGACAAGGCTGTAATCCCAACACTCTCAAGTCGGAGGCAGGAAGATCAGGAGTTCAAGGCCATTCTTGGCTACACAGGAAGTCTCAGCACAGCCTGGGGTACATAAAAACCTGACTTGCTGGGTGGTAGTGGTGCACACCTTTAATCCCAGTACTTAGGAGGCAGAGGTAGCTGGATTTCTGTGAGTTCAAGGCTAGCCTGGTCTACAGAACAAATTCCAGTACACCAGGGCTACACACAGAGAAATCCTGTCTTGAAAACCAAAATAAACATAAATACATAGCTCTTGACCTGTAGATGATGTCAGAAAATGAAAGAATTCCCAGAGCACTTACATACTCAAGAGACAAGCTCAAGGGCAGAGCTTGTCCAAGCATCTCCACCCTAACACAAAGAATGTGTCTCTGAATAAGGGACTATATTTTCCTGCCTCCTCCCTTCCCTTGCCTACATACTTCCTACTATGGAAGAATCAACAGCATGTTGGTTCTCACTCTATCGTGTGGGTCCTGGTTTGAACTAAGATTGTCAGGCTTGACAAGCAAGCTTCTTTGCCCACTGAGTCATCTCACCAGCCCGCTAATTCTGGGCAACTTTTCAGATAAGAGACACCTCCCTCCTCCAGGTCTCAGCTTCAGGTGGCTCAGATTCCAGAAGGTTCTTTAAAATGACCTCCACTGCAAACCCATTTCTCCAGATTCCCATGGCACTGCATCATTTCTCTAGCTGTTGCCCGGATGTCACTAGATTCAGCTCCCCGGAGGCAGGAAAGAATCAGAGGAGGCAGACCCAACTCCAAGACTGGGCTGGAAGGACACCTCATTAACCCAGTGAAGAGGGTAGAGGTCAGGGAAGGCAGTAAGACTGTTGTTGTAAACCGTTATGTGGGTTGTTACCCCAACACTTGCTTTCTGTCCTAGTCCCTAGCCAGACAGAATCACTGATATACGTTTATTGTCCTCTACTGAGACAGCAGCCTATGGCACAACTGTCTGCCTCTCAAACCTCAACTGCTCTGTGTGTGTCTGTGTGTGTGTGATGACTAGGGCAGAGTGCCAGCAAACTACTCAAACACAGTCCTGCTCAAGCAAAGCTAGGATACTGAACTTGTTATTGTTTGAGAATTTCACATACATATAAAATATTTTGATCAAACCCACCCCCATGCCCTCCCACCCTAATTCCAGCTCCTGAACTTTGTTTGTGTTGTTTTGGGTTTTTTGAAAGAGTTTATGCCAATCCTGCTGTAGCCTCCTGACTGCTAGGATTTCAGACCTGAACCTCACAGCTGGCTATGGCCTTGGACATCTTTTTATGTGTGTGGCATGTGTGCATATGCACGTATGTGTATGAGTCGGTGGGTAACCTCAGCTGTCATTCTTCAGGTGTTGTCAACTGATCCTGAATTTTACATTTTTATCATTTGTAATTGATTTATTTTTGTGTGTCTCTGTGGGTATGTGCAGTGAGGGTTGGTGCCTGAGGCCAGAGGTGATGGCTAACCCTGGAGGTAGAATTACAGGAGGTTATGAGGAACCTGGTAGGGTCCTAGGATCTGAACCCTGCAAGAGCAGCAAGTGCTCTTAATCACTGAGTCATCTCTCCAGCCCTAATACATTAGGGGGCGGGGTTTCAGGACAGGGTTTCCCTGTTGGGCTCTGGCTGTCCTAGAACACATTATGTAGTCCAGGCTGGCCTCGGATTCAGAAATTCCCCTGCCTCTGCCTCCAGAGTGCTGGCATTAAAGGCGTTCGCCAGGAAGAAGATGAAGAAAGGGAAGAGCTATAGAACCGTATTCCCCGCACTGCTGGCGAATTCGAGGAGTAGAGACAGGACCAAAGCCAGTCTCCAAAAGTTTCCTCCTCCACACCACAGGATCGTGGTCCTGCACACTGCCTGTTGCTAAGGCAGTGCTAGCATTTGCTAATACCAGCAGGGGTGTGTGCAACGCCTGGAAACTCTGCAAGGCTCCGTGCAACTTGTGCGGACGACGGCTCCGACGGGTGCAGCGGGGGAAAGGCTGCCCACCCCGCTCCGGGACTCAATCTTTCCTCGGCTCCCCAGAACCCCCTCCAGCCTGGCTCCGGGGGCAGGAAGGCTGGGCTCAGCGGCTCGGGGGCCGCCTGACCTGCTGCGCGACGTCGGTCGGGCTCATAGGCAGGACGTCTGTCTGGAGCCCCACCTGGGAAACGGTTCCTGTGAGGCGCTTCGGACCCAGCGCCTGTCTTCTTGGCCCTCTTGGGGCGAGCTCCACAAGTCCTCCAAACGCCAGGTTGCCAGGGGCGTTCAGGGAGTGTCTGCTCCACGTGACCGTCCTTTCCGGAGATCCAGTGAGCGGGCAAAGCCTAACGCCGGTTCTGAGGCGGGGAGGAGCCCATGACCAGACAAGGCAAAGCCGAGCCTCTCTCGCGAGACCTTGTAAGTGGGCGGGGTCCGGAGAGAGGTTCTTCTGAGTGACCGGGAGATGTGACGTCATACTCCTCTCGCGATATCTCGGAGTGGGCTGGATCTTTCGTGTGTGACTAGACAGCGCGACGCTGAGTCTGTCTCGCGGCATTTGGTGGTGCGGAACCGGATTGTGGGGGCTTCTCTCGCGAGATCAGGAAGCTCTGCGCCGGGCGAACACTGTGCAGAGTGGAGGTCGTTGGAGTCACTTGTCGGTTGTTAGCTTGTTCCGTAGGTTCGTACCCCGCCCGCTGCAGTCATGCTGTCTGCTCTCGCCCGGCCTGCCGGCGCCGCTCTCCGCCGCAGCTTCAGCACATCGGCCCAGGTACGAGAGGCTGCCTGACTGGCAGGGAACTCCGGGGCGGCACGAGCATCCCGGGAACGCGCGAGCTCCTAACCCGCCAGGCTCAGGGCCTCCCGGCTCATGAAAACCTGGGAGAGGGGCAGAGCCGGGCCAGGTTTCCCCCGAGAGTCTGCGCTTCCTGTAGGTACAGAAGCCAAGGGTCTCGGTCCGGAAGCAAATTGCATTGCATGCAACTTTGCATTGCTTCGGCATAGCTGATTTTCTCCTTGTAGAGTCCATAGGAGGAGAAATAAAGCGTAGCATTAGCTGTGTAGTACAGGCATCCGGAGGCTCTGAGGATAGAGAGCTGAGTCAAGGTTACAGTAGTTTGACAGAATGATTGAAATTCAGCACTCCTCACCACTGTCTCTGGCCTCGCCGCTAAGAGACTGCTTTCTTTCTTTCTTTCTTTCTTTCTTTCTTTCTTTCTTTCTTTCTTTCTTTATTTATTTATTTAGACCAGGCTGCCCTCGCACTAAAGAGATCTGCCTCTGCCTCCCCAGTGCTGGGATTAAAGGCGTGCTCTGTCACGCCTCTTTCAAAAATTATTTTTGTGTGTGTGGTATGTGCCCAGAGGCTAGAGAAGGACAGAGGGTACACTAAACCGTCGGTTCTCGACCTGGGAATCAAACGACCCTTTCACAGAGGTCACATACCAGATATTTACACTGAGATTAATAGCAGCAAAATTATAATTATGAAGTAGAAGCGAAAATAATTTTATGATAGAGGGTTACTGCAACATGAGGAACTGTTTTTGAAGGGCTGTGACATTGGGAAGGTTGAGAACCACTGCTCTAGACCTTATTTCTTTGAAACAAGGCCTTTGACTTGGGGATTTGAACTCAGCTCCTTAGGTTCTACTCACTGAACCATCTCCTCCAGGAGCCTTTTTCTTTTGGGAATTATTCTTGGAGGATCATCCCTGCTTTGGGTTGACTTGGCCCTGGACACATAGAGCTGAGTTATTTTTAGTCATCTTCTTGGACAGTGGTTCTTTAACTAGTGCATATCAGAATCAATAAAGAAAGGAGTCCCAGGATCATATCCACAGGGTAGGGTTTGTATTTTTACAAATTTCCAGCAAAATCAATACAACCAAGGCTTAAGAAATAATTACCGTGCCTCAAAGGGGAACTGATAATTTGAGGGAACTCCAAATTTCTGCTCACTCAGGTCATGTCATTTTGTTTGATACAGGGGGCAGGAAAGATGTTCAGCAGTTAAAAGGCTCCTAATCTAGCAGAGGACCAGAGGAGCTGAAGTGTTCTTCTGACCTCTTTGGGTACCTGCACATAAACTCACACCAAAACAACAAAAACTTGAAAGTAGTTACTTACTGGGTATGGCCACGAATGCTTGTAATCCCAGCTACTCAAGAGTTAGAAGCAGGAAGATTATAAATTTGAGATCTGCCTGGGTAATTTAGTAGGTTTCTGTCTCAAAATAAAACAAAGTTGTAGGGACATATGCAAGGCCCTGAGTGCTCAGAGATAACCGAGGGGAATGAGGAGTGGCCTGGGTGGGTGAGAAATAAGTTAACTGGTAGGTAGAGTGGAGATGGTTGCTGAGGCCTGGAGTAGGGTTAGCTCATCAGAGATGCTAAGAATATGGCTGAGTGTTGGTAGCACTGGGGATTGAATTCAGGACCTTAATGCATGTTAGGCAACTTTTGTACCATTGAGCCACATACCAAGTTTAGCCTATTTGTGTTGTTTGCTTGTTTTTCTTTTTCGTTTGTTTAAGAAAAAGTCTCACAGTGCAACCTTGGCTGGCCTGGACCTTTTTGTAGACCTGGTTGGTCTTAAACTAGAGATCTACCTGCCTCTGTACTTCCCAAGTACTGGGATTAAAAGTGTGGTCCATCATCCCCAGCTTCCATTTGAATTTTGTTGGTTGCATATATGCTGTGCAAAGCACAGAATTCTGTATTTTGATTTAAAATTTATTTGTGTGTGTACCTTATTTCACATGTGGCTGTAAGGTCAACTTGGTTTTCACCTTCTGTCATGGAGGTCCTGTGAATTGAACTCAGTTCATCAAGCTTGGAAGCCAGTCTGCTTTACCCACTGAGCTATCTTATCAGCCCCAGAATTCTATAGTAGATATGTTGTTGTCTCTCCCTTGTTACAAAGTGTTTTAGTAATGAGCCCCAGAGGAAAAAGTAAGGGTTGACAAGGAAGTTGAGATTTTATTTTTAATTGGGGGGAAACGTGGTATGGGTATCTGTGTGCATGTGTGTGCATAGGAAGAGCAGGAGTCCATCCTCTCTTCCCACACTGTGGGGAAGATTAGCAATTGAATTCATGTGTTTGGACTTTTGAAGCAAGTGCTTTTACTTGCTGAGCCATCTCACAGGCCCAAGGCCACTGTCGGGAGAATGTGACATTTTAGTGAAGGCCAGAAGAAAGCACAGGTGACAGGTAGAAAGGATTCCAGACATGTAGACAGTAACTGAGTTCAGTATGTGGGGCAGGGAGGCCTGGAGTGATTGAGAAGAGGGTGGATAGAGAAAACCCAGCAAGCCCTGTACAACTAGGACATTTTCTCAAAAGCAACGTGAATTTTGAACAGAGAAGTTACTTAGTAGGCAGAAGGAGGCAGGTAAGAAGCCACTGTACTAATATGGGTGGCAGCTGAGGATGTGGTGAAAATAACTGAATTTGCTGATGATCAATCAGATAAAGGGGGGAAATGGAGTCATGGGCAGTGCAGAGGTTTGAAGCTGTGGTACTGGTTTTATTGAGATGACTAAGAGTTCTGGAAGAGCTTGCTAGGGGTAGCACTCAGGGGTAGAGCATCTGCTTAGAATCCTCCAGTGAAGGGCTAAGGTGTGTGTGGCTCAGTGGTAAGAGTGTAAAGACTTTTAGGAGAAGAGAACATTTAGGGTAGTAAATTGGTTGGATTTAGAAAACCCAAATTCAAAAACAAGATAAAAATGCCCTTTGGGTCTCCAGTTAGCTCTTGAAAAAACAGTGGAGTAAGTCCAGAGGCAACTGCAACCAAGTATGTTTGGGCTCAATTATAAAATGTAGCCAAGGTCCTCATTGTATCCCCCCATATATCTATTTCTAATATATATGCACATATGTAGTAGGAACACAAATATAGAAGTTTTGAAACTTGGTTTCTGAAAGCAAAGTTTTGAATGAATGTATTACAATCTATCCATCTTCAGAACAGTTGCCAGGCATTAAATTGTTAATCAGGATTCTGGGCTCTTAGCAAAGGCCAATGGAGTAGGAAGAAACCACTGTGAGCCCAGGCCAGTTTTTCTGTGCCTTGTAGGTCAAGCCTTTGCTTTATAGCAGGCCCTATCTCAAAGCAATAGAATAAACAGAAACCTCCCATTTGGGATCACCTTGTGCTTGACTCGATGGAACTACTACGCCCTGTCCGGTGAAATGATGGAGGTGTGCTAAGGAAAGGCAATTTGGTGGTGCCTGAGTGGAGGATGGGAGACAATGAGACAGGAGCAGGTTGGGGCGAGCGGAGCCTGAGAGACCCAAGTTCTTCCTGTTCCCTGTGTAGCCCTGGCTGCTCTCCATCTCAGGATTCTCCTGCCTCTGCCTCCTGAAGAAGTTTGCCTAAGTGCTGGGGTTACAGGTGTGCCCCTCCCACCCACCCACCTACTTTTTTTTTTTTTTTTTTCCTCCTTCTTCCCATACTGGGGGTGGAACCCAGTTCCTCAGAATAATAGCTTGGCAAGCACTCTTGTCACTGAGTCACACCCCAACCTTGGGCTTTGGTTTTTGATAACTGAAGCCCATTATTGCTTATTACAGCATTAATTACTGTCCAGTACACATTTCCTGCCACGTATCTATGTGGCCTCCACCCATAGGTTCAGCCAGCCTTGGAATGAAAATGTTCAAAAAAGGGCAAAACAGACTGGAAAGATGGCTTAGAGGTTAGAAGCAGTTGCTGCTCTTGTGGAGGAATTGAATGTAGTTCCCAGCACCCACATTGGGCAACTCAACTAACTGTAATAGTTCCAAAGGATCTGATGCCCTCTTCTGGCCTTCTTGAACATGCACATACATGACATGCATTCATGCAGATACATATTCAAAACATACAGGCTAAGTAAAAATAAAAAAAATCTTTCAAAAATACAATACTGACATACTAAACAATACCGTCTTCACAGTTATCTGCTTATCTATATTGCATTAAGGGTTACCAGCTTTTTTGTTTGTTTGTATTTTGGTTTTTTGAGGCAGGGTTTCTCAGCTTTTGGAGTCTCCTGGAACTCTGATCTGTAGACCAAGCTGACCTTGAACTCACAGAGATCCTCCTACCTCTGCCTCCAGAGTGCTTAGATTAAGGAAAAGTGTGCATCACCACCGCCTGACACAAGTAATCTTTTTATCTTGGAGTATTGTTAACGTGCATATGCATGAAGGTCAGAGAACAGCTTTTTTGGAGTTGATTCTCTTCTACTCCCTGAGTCCGGGGGATCAAACTCAGGTCCTCAGGCTTGCCTTCAAGCACCTTTATTTGCTGAGTCATCTTGTCAGCCCACAAGTAATCCTGAGATGGTTTAGAGTACAGGTGAAGAGGGCCTGGAGTGGAGATGGTAGCATAACATTTGCCTAACAGAAACAAAGCTCTTGGTTCAAGTCCCAGTTCCTTAAAAGCGATATTGAGTGGGCAGGAGCAAGGAAGGGAAGAACAGACAGGAGGATGTTGTATGTCAGTGATGTACAATGCTACTTACTGGATATTTTGGCCATGTGGGGTGATGGCTCCTGGAACAAGTCCCCGATGGTAACGGGACTATTTCTTTCCGGAGCTTGCCCCTCATTCCTAGTTCGTCAAGGGGCTGTTGCTCTTGCTTAATATTTATAGTTTTTAAACTACAGATCAAAGATACGACGGCTACCTGGGTGGAGCTGCCTCTTTATCACAGGATATTTGGAGTGTGAACTCTCGTATCTTGCCATCACTAGGCTTGTGTTTTCTCCACTTGAACTTGGACTTGGGATGAAGGTCCAGAGTTCTGCCACAGTGAAGCTGGTCGATGTGGCTGCTGGCTCTTTGGCATCTCATCATCTAAAGAAGCCCTGTTCTATCTATCTTAAGTATCTGTTTCTCTATTTCCTTCTAGAACAATGCTAAAGTAGCCGTGCTGGGAGCTTCTGGGGGCATTGGGCAGCCCCTGTCCCTCCTCCTGAAGAACAGCCCCCTAGTGAGCCGCCTGACCCTCTATGATATCGCTCATACGCCCGGTGTGGCAGCGGATCTGAGTCACATCGAGACCAGAGCAAATGTGAAAGGTACTGGGTGTGGCTGCCCTGGGGACTCCACCATATGCCATGCAGTAAGCCAGGGTTGAATTCTAGAACAGGACCATAGATGAACCTGGATGGTCACAGTTGGGGAGTGCAGGCTCATTTTAGAGTGAAATTGCAGGGGACAACACTGGTATGGACTTGAGTGTACAAATACTTACGAAGCAGTGGTGTCTTTTAGAAAGCTGAAGCTGAGCTGGCACTGTGTCCAGTGGTGGTGCACACCTTTAATCCCAGCACTCGGGAGACAGAAGCAGCGGATCTCTTGAGTCCCTAGACAGGCAGGGCTACACAGAGAAACCCTGTCTCAAAGCAAAAAAGAAAGCTGAGGCTGGCAATTTGATAGGTGGATGGGTCCTTTCTGTATGAGCCTGGTGACCAGCATTCATTGCCCAGAACCAGCAAAGGTGGAAGGAGAGAACCAGTTCTTCCGAGAGTTGTCTTCCACAAGTGTGCTGTGAATACACACACATCCCATAATATAATTTATTTTAGAAGTATAAAGCAGGGCATGGTGATCCACAACTGCCACCCCAGCCCTTTGGGGCTAAGGTAGAAGGGTCATGGGTTCAAGGTTAACTTGGGCTGTATAGCGAGCCCTTGTAGAGAGGTATTGGATATAGTTGGTAGAGTGTTTGCTTGACATTCAAGAAGCCCTTAGTTGAGTCTCCACTACTTGGAAGGTGGTGACGGGAAGACCAGCAAGTCTGTGTTCTGGGCTACATAGTAAAAAGTAATTTTAAAAAGGCTAATTCTGGACCCATCACAAACCTGAAACCCTCAGAAATAATCTCCCCCGATAGTAAGAGTAATGGGTGTGACGCTGCAACTGGGAGGTGAGGCAGGAGAATCCCTGCTGCTGGTCTCTATAGAACTAGTCCATTCCAGAGGGGGCTCTTTTCCCTTTGACAGATGGGATCCACCAGCTCTCTGTTCCCTCCCTCAGATGTGATGGCTTCCCTGGGCTCATAAAGGTGACACTGCTCTAATGGGATGTTCTTCACAGGCTACCTCGGACCTGAACAGCTGCCAGACTGCCTGAAAGGTTGTGATGTGGTGGTGATCCCAGCTGGAGTACCCAGGAAGCCAGGTGTGTGTGCAGGGGAGAATCCTGGGGTGGGGGTGGGGTAGAGAGGGCTCAGCTGTTACAGGCAATATTAGAGAACCTGATTCAGATCCCAGCACCCATATTGGCATCTCACAAATTGCTTGTACCTCCAGTTCCAAGGGACCCAACACCCACTTACAATTTAGTAGGCTCATCACATACATACACACATAAATAAAATCTTTTTTTATAAAAATTTAAAGCCTCATTTGAAGTGTCCCTCCACAGCTGAGAAGAGCTATAAGCTGATATATGTGGATTTACTTCCTTTTCAGTTGCAAAGATCTCCAAAGACTTCCTCCTTATCTACCTGGAAAATTAAGCCTACAAGTATCTGTTGCCTCTGAATTTGAAGTGGACTTAGAGAGCCCTGTTCTCCACCCCGCTCCACCTCAGGACTCCTGCTAACTGCAGATGTCTCTCTGTGACTCACTCCATCTGTACACCCAAAGGCCCCCCTGTGCTGTCATTAGCCACAGTGGAGTGCTGCCTTTCTAGGACAGATTTACTTAAAATGGGAGCCCTGTTCACACAGTTTAATAATTGGCACCTGGACTATTTCAGAACTATGCATAGGCCTTAGAGATGGCTGATGGGTAGAGGTTCGTGCCACCAAGCCTGACAACTCAAGTTCAGTCCCTGGGACACACTTTGACAGAGACTTTTATTATCCCCCTTTTCATGGGCTCTCTCTACTTTAATTCCTATGCATATAAAATGGCATAGCTGTAGCTCTGAATATTTTGTTTCTTTGGATCTTAACAAATATTTCAGTAATTTGTTCAAAATGCTTTGTCTCAGAGGACTGAGATTTAGTTTCACTCATTCACTTTAAGTCATGACCCCTTTTCAGCGAGAGGACTGAGTTTCCCTGCTAACCCCTAATTTCTATTTAAAGAAAACTTTTCCTACCTTCTCTAAGGATTGTATGTCTCACATTGGGTGCCAGTTAAGGGGGTCCCTGCAAGTGTCAGACAGGGGAGCAAACTGAGCAAAGAAATGAGAGCGAAAACTCAGTGCAAGTTAACTTGTCAACCTGGACCAGACCTCATTGTCAGCGTATTTAAAACCTAGTACAATTTGGGGAAAGGTTTCCAGGCAACAGTCAGTCTAATTCCAGGTGCACAGTGAAGCTTAAGATGTGTCTACATAGACAGACTGTTTTACATGTGACCATGAGGGTGGGTTCTGTAGCTGGAAGACCTAGAATCTAGTGTGGCTTCAGACCAATAGCATAGAGGTCAACAGGACATAAGGTACATGTGACATGTCCCTAAGGATGGTAATGACCTAGCGAGGGGAGAGTCTGGGATAACCACTCTCGGGGATTTGAGTGAGGTCTGCCTCCATAGCAAAAGGAGGGTGAGGTCTGCCTACAACAAAAAGGTCACCAGGTCATTAATAAAATCCACTCCCAGCTTTCTGGATGGAATGCAGGTACTTGATTTTTGTCTCTGTTGAGGAGGCACCCATGTGGGCACCTGGTTCTCTTAGTGCTTCTCTGTGAGTACAAGGAACTCAGTGCCCCCAACAGTGGAAGGTGAAATTTCATCATGTTTTTGTGGTTCTCTCACCCTGGACCATCCTAGGAATGACACGAGATGACCTATTCAACACCAACGCTACCATTGTGGCCACCTTGACGGCTGCCTGTGCCCAGCACTGCCCTGAAGCCATGATCTGCATCATTGCAAACCCGGTGAGTATAGGGAGGCAGGGCTAGCCATGTGTGTATTAGATGTACACATTGGAGGTGTTGAGAGGTCCTTGAATGTATCCTAAAACTGTCTTCTGTCGCCAATCAAGAGTTTGAACCTGATTCTTTCAACTGACAGACTCTCCTTTCAGGCGGGTCAGCTTCCCCCACCTGGGATCCCCATCTTTCTCTTTCTCCACTCTACCACCTTCTCCTCTACTCCTCCTCTTCTTCCTCTCCCTCTTTGTGGTGGGGACGGGGCTAAGAAGGGTCTCACTATATAGTTCATGTTGTCCCGCAACTCAGTCCCACTTCTGCCTCCTAGGTGCTGGCGTGGAAGGGTTACGGGTGTACCAGCATGCTTTGCTCAAATTGCCCACCTGTGTTAACTCCTTTCAGCCAAGGTTGTGGTGACTTGTGACTCCTCTTTTATATTAAGTGCACAACACAAATCTTACCATTTTATTCTATTTGATTTATGTGCCCTGGGTGGTGTCTTAGGCTCTTGCCCTGTTGATTCAGTCATTCATTCTTCACACCTCATGAGGTAGTTGTCGTATCCATTTGTCTCAGTCACTATTGTGTTGTAATGAAACAGCATGACTAAGGCAGTTTATAAACGGAAGCATTGAACTGGGGCTTGCTTACAGTTTCAGAGGGTTGGTCCATGCTCACCATGGTGGGGAGTGTGGTGGTTGGCAGGCAGGCATGGTGCTGCTGGAGTAGCTGAGTCAGAGGCTGAGGCCAGTGTAAGTCTACCATTGGTGACACACCTAATCCTTCCCAGATAGTTCCGCTAACTAGGGACCAACCATTCAAACATGGAAGCTTATGAGGGCCATCCCCTTCAAACCACCACAGCATGGCTCACTAGATTATACATGTTCTAGGGATTCAGGCACTTATTCACCTCCTGTTAGCCAGCTCAGCCCAGCAGAAGGAACCCTGAGCAAGCAGCCTTCTGTGTCCAAGCTGACGACTGAAGGGCTATCAAGGAACAAGTGTCCTTGCAGTAAAGGCTGTCTTTGACCACATGGCATGGACACCTTACCTTGCAGATGGCTCACAGTTTATTGGCAGGGCCTGTTGCTGGTCTCCACCCTCAGTTGACGCCCGTCTCATGGTTTTCTCAGGTTAACTCCACCATCCCCATCACAGCTGAAGTTTTTAAGAAGCATGGAGTGTACAACCCCAACAAGATCTTCGGTGTGACAACCCTTGACATCGTCAGAGCAAACACATTCGTGGCAGAGCTGAAGGTGAGGGCCGGATGGGCACCTCTCAGTTGCCTCTCTTCTGAACTGCTCAGCTACCCTTGTTCCTGGGCTGGCAGGGGATCTAGACCTGGGGTTTCTTTGTCACTGGCTCCAATGTTTTCTGTAAGAACAGGCGGTGAACCCCACGGGCTCAGACTGGCCAGCTACTACCAGGCTTAGCGTGCCCTCTACTCTTGACCTCTTCCTAATGTGTCAGGGTTCAGACTTTATCTAACCCACTCTTGGATGGTAGCCACCTGTCCATTCACCATGCCCTGGAAAAATTAATTTATCTGCTAATACTAACACACAGTGATAAGGACTTGGGACAGCTCCAGAAATCCTAAAGTAGCCGAACTATTATCCAGGCTGGCCTCTAGTTTCTACCTCCTTTTCTTGGGTTACCTGTAGTAGCTTACCTTGAAGGATTCATATCCCCCTGGCTTCTTGCCTCTAGGTCTGTGCCCAGCTCGATTTTTTTTTTTTTTTTTTTTTTTTTTTTTTTTAATGTGTAGAGACATGAGTAAACATAAATTTCTTGGGTTTTTTTGGGGGGGGTGGCAGGGTTCCAGACAAGACTTCTGTGGCTTTGAAGCCTGTCCTGGAACTAGCTCTTGTAGACCAGGCTGGTTTTGAACTCAGAGATCCGCCTGCCTTTGCCTCTCAAGTGCTTGGATCAAAGGCTTGCACCACCACCGCCTGGCAAATTAGTTGTATGTGTATGCGTGGGTCTGTGTGGAATTGGACACCTGTGAGTGTAGTGCCCTAGGTATCCAGAGAAGGCTTGGTTCCTCCTGAAGCTGGAGTTACAGGCGGTTGTGAGCCACTATGTGGGTGCTAGGAACCAAAATCTGGTCCCTTGCAAGAGCAGCAAGCACTCATCAGCCAGTGTCTGTCCTCGTGTCTTTCACGGCTTCCTTGGCTGTCATTGACCTTGTAACTGTGCATCTCGCCAGCAGCCCTGCTGCCTTGAGCCTTTCTGTTTTGCCATCCAGCTCTAGTGTGTGGAACAATTTTAATTCCTGAGTTGAGGGAGAACTCTTTTCTCTGGGACAGAATGTGAGAGTACTTGTTTGGGCATTTCCATGAAGAGTGAAGTTAGCCCTAGGAAAATTGTTGCTGTTCTCTGGTTCCATAATAAGGAAGTCAGGTGGCTAGAAGGGTAGAGGAGCCTGTGGTGACTCCTACACAAGCCATCCCTCCCTGCACCTGCCCACAGTGACTGATCATATGACAACAGGGCCCAAGTGCTAAGCACAGTTGGGGTCAGACTCTGGGGTTCCAGGCTGTGCACTTTGGGTGGGTGACTGCACCTTGTTTTGTGCTTAAAGACCTTGTAAACAATAAGGCTTTTGTCCTGCCTTGTGAATAGGGTTTGGATCCCGCTCGAGTCAACGTGCCTGTCATTGGTGGCCATGCTGGGAAGACCATCATTCCCTTGATCTCTCAGGTATGTGAATGACAGAGCGAGAGTGTGAGCGAGCATGGGGGTGGGGAGAGAGACTGATGATGGATCACAGGGAGCTGTAAGATCACAAATACCTTAGATTGCCTTGAAACTCTGGAACAGTCTAGGCTAAGTGGAAATCAGCTGGCTCTAGCACACTGTGAGAAACATCCCATGAGCTCAAAGCAGACAGTATACATAGGAGGCCAGGTATGATCCCCACTCTTGGGAAGTGCAGGCAAGATCAGGAGTTCAAGGGTTATCAGCTATGTAGTGACTTTGAGGCCAACCTGGGGGTGCATCAAGCAAAATAGTTTGAGACAGAGTTAGCATCATTTGAAACAGGTCTGTAAATCAGCTCCATAACCCCTGATTATGACATGCCAAGGACTTGTATCTGTGGTGCTTTTGCATAGTTTTTAGAAAAATGTGTAAGTGAAGCAAGAGAAACATGGCACCCATCCTGAAGATTAAGATGGAGAGAGACCTCAGTGGTTAAGAACACTTGATATTTATTCTTGCCAAGGACCTGAGTTCATTTTTAGCACTCATTGGGCACCTTAAACAACCACCTGTAACTCCAGCTCCAGAGATCTGCTGTCCTCTTCTGGCTTCCATGGACATTCACATACACACATGGACATATAAAACAATGATTCTCCAAGCTCATTTGGGAGTGCAGGTATCAAAAGGTGGGAGGACTTGGGGGCAGTAGAGGAGACATGGAGGTGAGGGTTAGGTTGGTGCTTGATCCTCTGTTGGATCCACAACTGCATGTGGCCATGGAGTGTGCACTGTTCAGTATGCAAAAAAGTGAGGTGTGGGAGGAGATTTGGTCAGGAAAGTGCCTGCCATGCAAGCCTGAAGACCTGAGTTAGGCTCCCAGCTTCCATGTGAAAAAAATTCAGGTGCAAGACCGGCACCCTAGTACTGGGGAGCCAATAGAAGGGTCTCTGGGGCTTGCTGGGCAGTCATCCTGGCTGAGTCAGTGAGAGACCCAGTCTCAAAGCATACATGTAAGCTGGAGGGTGATTGATGGAGACCCCTGACATCAACCTCAGGCCTGGAAAAATATAGGAATTCAAGGATTACATAAGAACTGTCTCAACTAAGCCTCTGGGGGAAAGTGAATTTGTTTTTGTCAGTAGAAAATGATGCTGAGGTCTTTGAGGTTGAGTGGTGGGGACCCCTGTCTGGCATGATTGAAGCCTGGTGTCTGGTGCAGTGTGGTGCTGAGATGGGGCACATGGTGGAGTGGGGATTGCACCAGAAAGTTGCTCACACAGCCCCTGGCTTGCTCTGCAGTGTACCCCCAAGGTTGACTTTCCCCAAGACCAGCTGACCGCACTCACCGGGAGGATCCAGGAGGCTGGCACAGAAGTTGTGAAGGCCAAGGCTGGAGCAGGTAGAGTCCCAGGGATCCTGGGGGTGGGGACACTGACACTGGGATCCAGGAATGTTAGCATAGCAGAAAGACTGCTTGTCCCTGGGTAGGGAGTGGGTGTTTCTCTCCAGGGTGCTTCATCTGCCCTTGCCCGAAGAGAAGGCTCTAGAAGGTAGCTCAGATTGCTGTGGGATGAGAGCGACAGTGACATGCAGAAGTGCAGGCTCAGATTGTCCACCATCAGCTGTCGTGTGCAGGTGCTGTTTCTGGGGGCACAGCCCCTGGTTCCTGGGGTCTGGTGCTAGCTGTTGTGACCCACCATTCTCTCTCCCAGGTTCTGCAACCCTGTCCATGGCTTACGCTGGAGCCCGTTTTGTCTTCTCCCTTGTGGATGCCATGAATGGGAAGGAAGGTGTCGTTGAGTGTTCTTTTGTTCAGTCCAAGGAGACAGAGTGCACTTACTTCTCCACACCCTTGCTGTTGGGGGTATGTATACAGGGTAGTCATGGTTGTGATTGGTGCTTGCTTGGCATTGGGGAAGGGAGAGCGTGTGTCTCAGAATGTAGAGCCGGGCCCATCACAGGGCAGTGCAAGTATGATTTAGAAATGTGGCAGCTACCAAATGGCTGTCCATGAAAGATCAGCTTTGAAATAAACTGATCCCTCCTGGGCTGGGATGCAGCTAAATGGAGCAGCCTCTGCTCATCTCCCAGTGAGGGACCGGTGGGGGTGGCTTAGTGGCAGAGCACTTGCCTCCTCAGCCTTCTGGGTGCTAGGATTTGAGGTCTGTGACACCAAACCAAGCTAGAAACTTGGTTTCATGTGTCACCATCTCCCCCTCTCTTCCAGAAAAAGGGCCTGGAGAAGAACCTGGGCATTGGCAAAATCACTCCTTTTGAGGAGAAAATGATTGCCGAGGCCATCCCCGAGCTAAAAGCCTCCATCAAGAAAGGCGAGGACTTTGTCAAGAACATGAAGTGAGAGGTTCAAGCCCCAAGCAGCAGCATCACCCTAACTTATTGAGCATCATGTCTTTGAAGTCACCAGGGTCCTCCATGTGCTGTGATGATGGGTGTTGTACCAGCAACAGCATCCCTTCACAGTGGTGGCCGGTCTATTGATAATAACAATAAAGCAGACTGATTGTCTTTTTTATGGTCTCCATCCGCTCACTCAGAGCCTGGTCTCTACACTGAATCAGAAACAGTCCGTGGCTGGGCGTGGTGGTGTAACCTTTAATCCCAGCATTCAGGAAGAGACAGGAAGTGCTCTGGTTTCAAGAACAGACTGGTCCACATACTGAATTTCAAGTCAGCTAACGGTATACAGGGAGACACTGTCCCAGAAATAATAATACTAATGTTAATACTATTTAGAGGCTATTCACGTGTTTGGCAGAGACCTCTGGGGCTTGAAGGAATTCTAAACCAGGCCTGGTAGTGCACACCTGTGATCCCAGCCCCTGTAGAGGATGAGGCAGGAAGACCTGAAGTTCAAGGCCTGCCTACAGTACAGAGCAATCCCAGGCACCCAGGGAGACCCTGCTTCAGAATGCTTCAGCAGCGGTAGAGCACTAGGCCTGAGCTGTCAGTGAGGTCTTAGGGGTGTGGCTAGGGTAGCATGTCCCAGGCCTTAGGTTCTGTTGGCTTAGTTCAGCCATCAATTTGACAAAGCCTAGAGTCATCTGAAAAGGGAATTTTGCAATTGGGTTGCCCTGATTAGATGCACCTGCAGCCACGCCTGTGTGGCATTGTCTTGGTTATAAATTGGTGTGAAGGGCAGCCCACTGGGCAGGTAATCTGGCTTGTATAGGAAAGCTCATTGTGGGGCTGGAATGGTAGCTCCTTTAAGGGCCAGTACTATTGAGAGCCTTCTAGTTTGGTTCCCAACATATGTGCTACGAGCCTCACAACTGCCTGTAACTCCAACTCCAGGTGGTCCTACAATCCCTGTGGCTTCTGTGGATCCAGGCTCAGGTACAAACACCCACACAGACAAATCTTTAAAAATAAAAGTAGCTGGATGTCAAGTGGCTCATACCTTTAATCCCAGAACTCAGGAAAGGCAGGTGGATCTCCATGAATTCCAGGCCAAGCCAGACAGCTAAATAGCAAGATTCTGCCTCAATGAAACAAAATAATCTTTTAGAAAGAAATTGAGCTGAATGTAGCCAATGAGCTTTCTGCCCTTGTTTTGCTGTGAAGTGAGTTCCTTGGTCTGAGGAAATGCTGTATGGAATAGCCACCAGGTGCCTGTCAAGTTCCTGCCCTGATTTCCCTCAGTGATGGACTGTGGCCTGGAAGTGTGAGCCACAAACCCGTTGCTTCCTAGGATGGTTTTAGTCATGGCTGTCATCAACAGAAAGCAGACTGGAACAGGTTCTATTCCTAACTCCACCAAAAACATAAAAGGTCTGAGGATTGCCATGAAGTTAAGGTCAGCCTGGCCTACATAGTAACCTGCTCCAGCAGAGAAAACCAATCCTCACTGTCCTTTGTGACTCAATGATTCTGCTTGTGACACACTACAGAACTGTTTGGGTAACACACTGTTAGATAGGGTTCTTGCATTTGCAATCACCTGACAGGCTGAACCTGACAGGTCAAGTGACATCTTGGATGTGGATGGTCACTATTCATCATATTCCAGGATTTCTTTGAGGAGGGCCCCCTGGGAAGGCAGACTGTTATCCACTGAGTCATATCTCCTAGCCGTGTGTGTGTGTGTGTGTGTGTGTGTGTGTGTGTGTGTGATATAATTACATATATGTGTGTGTTTTTAAATAGGTACTGGGGATCAAACACAGGTTCTCATTACATGGCTAGCCAGAACTCTACTGACTGAGCCATCTGCCCAATCATTAATCTTTTGTATAAATGTTATTTTTTTATCTTACATGTAAATAAAAACATCAAAAATCAGCCAGACCTAAAGTTCATACAACTTATATACAGTTAGAATTGGCATTAGAAACAAATTAAAGCCAGGCAATGATGGTACATGCCTTGATCCCAGCACTTGGGAGCAGAGGCAGGCAAATCTACATAGTTGGAGGCCAGCCTGGTCTATATAGTGAGTTCCAGGACAGCCAGGGGTGCATACATAGACTCTGTTTCAACCTGAAGGGGAGAAGAAAGGAAACAAGCTATGAAGCATCACTCGCATCAAATGTTACTTGTTCAGTATTGGATATATTTTATGTACTCACCCACTGCCAAACAAAACTCCACGACAGAATTGAAACTAGGAAAACAGCTTCACATCTAGTTTTGCTTTTTGACAGTCTTACTATGTAGTCCAAGTTGATGTCAAAATCCTGCCGCGGTTTTCTGAGTGCTGCGATCACAGGCGTACATCGCCATGCCCATGTTGGCTCCTGTCAGAGGACTTGCCTGACAACTCTGGTCTGAGAATTAGGGAAAGTGTAGATGAAGAGCCAGGACTGAAAGGTACCAGAGCACAAATCTGGGTCTTCCCCGGCATCTCCTCACATGGAGAAGAGCACTGGGCTAGCTAGCTCTGCAGACTGGGGAGCATGTCAGGCAGCCAAAGGAGCAAATGTGTTTAAACTTCTGACCCTGAGATATGGCCTTAGCAAATACAAAGTTCATGCCCAACAGTTTCACAAGGAGGGAAATGGTTCAATAGCTAAGAGTACTTATTCTACATAAGAATGGGGACCTGAGTTCTAATCCTTCCATACAGAAAGCCAGACATGGGTATGCATATCTGTAAGCCCATATCCTAGTCTGGGGTGAAGACTGATCCTGAGAGCGTGTAGGCCAGGCAGCCTAGACAAAACTTTCCTATTCAGTGAGAGCCACCATCTGAGAACAATGAAGTAGAGGACAACCAACAACGACATCCAACACCCTGTTAGTAAAGTGTTTGAGGCATGATCATCGGGACCTGAGTTCAATGCCCGAACCACATATAAAAAAATGCAGTTGTGGCACACAGCTTTAATCCCAGGCACTCAGGAGACAGAGGCAGGAGACAGAGGCCAGTCTGGTTTTCATAGCGAGTTCTAGGACACCCAGAGCTGTTACATAGAGAAAAACAAAATCCAGATGTATTGTGTTCTTGTAATGCCAGCACTGGGCAGACAGGGACAGATTCCCAGGCTAGCCAGCCTGACCAAATCAGTGAAGGTGGCCAGTGAGGGAGGGAAATGTCAAAACAAGCTGGACAGACAAGGTATTCTGAGGTGTGTGTGACCTCCACACACAAGTGCACATATGGGCATACACACATACACACAAATAGAAACCTAACAAAAGATGTAAAGAAAAAAAAACAATATTTTAAGTAACTATACAATTTTGTATTGTGCCACATTCATAACTGTCCTGGGTGCATATCTTGGAGCCTCAGGTCCATGACAAAAGAAACAGGCTCATTTGGTGAGATCAGCAAACCCAGCTGAAGGGTGTGGCCCTCATCCTGAGAACAAAGATGTAGTATGTCAACAGGGCTGGACAGATCAGTGACAGGGTTCCAAACCAAAGCTTCAAGATCGATGAGGAAGGTCATTTTTGCATGCCAGGTGTGACTGGGGTGGGCTCTCCACTGCATCCTGGGAAATCCAGCTCCAGGTGACTCCCTGCTACAAGTCTGAACACAAAAGAAGGGCTGAGGGCCAGCATTGGGGTGGCATTGAGCAGCATGGAAAGGGAGAATGCATCTCCCAGCCCCCATTTCCACTCCCTTAAAAATCTATTAGCTGTGCTGGGGAGATGGCTGGGTGGGTGAATAGCCTATCATGTAAGAAGGCACACAAAGGGCTTGAGTTTGAAGTCTACACCACATAAAAAGCCAGGTGTGGCAATATGTACTTGAAACCAGAGCACTGGGGGTGCTATGGAGGTGGGGATTCCTGGCATTTGCTAGCCAGCCAGGTTGAAAAATAGAGGAGCTCTGGGGACAAAGGAAGACCAAGAGGGGCTGGAGGGGTGGCTCAACAGCTAGAAATATACACTGTTCTTATAGAACATCCAGTTAGCCCCCTCCCTGACAAACTGTCCCCTACAGCCAGGAAAGAAAGGCAAGTAGCAATTAGGGTGTTAAAGAGCACATGCACGCCTAGAGCAGTCCTTAGCAGCTTCACGGCAGTGAGGAGCCTGGCTAAGGACAAAAGGGTGGCAGAAAATTGCTAGAATCAGAAGGAGCCACAGTGATGCTGGAAAATTAATTGAAAGGAAAGCAATGTAGTGAGTTCTCTGAGAAAGCAGAGAGTACCTAACCCAGGCTTCTGGACCAAGACTGTGCAGCTCCCACTGTGGCCAGAAGAGAGAGCCAGAGGCTGATGCCTGATGCTCCAGGCAAGGCTAGGTCTCTCAGGAATGAGATTAGCATTCCAGAACCAAATCACGCTAGCCATGCTGTCTGGTCTTGGTCAGGTGGGAGGGAGGAGACAGTAGGCAGTGTAGGAGTGAATAAAGGGAAGGCCATGGAAAGAAGTCCTGTAATGGAAAGCAGGTTTGAAGGAGGAGACCAGTCTAATCTTGGGTTCCTCCTGTCTCTGATGCCCTGGACACTGGACAAAGACACTGCTGACATCCAAAGGAGAGAGGGGCCTGAGATTCAAACCCAGGGTAGGAGAAAGCTACTGAGTGGACAGGAGGGAGGGGTGGGGACAGCCCAGGCCTAACCTGCAGCTGCTGCAGGCATATCCCACTTTAAAACGCTATTGTTGAGGCTGGAGAGATGGCTGGCCACTTAAGACAACCAATTTACTGCTCCTCCAGTGGACCTGAGTTCAGTTTCCAGCACTCATACAGGGCAGAGTACCACTGACTGAGCTCAGGTTCCAAGGGATCTGGCACCCTCTTGTGGCCTCTGTGCTCATGTGATGGACATAAATTCACACAGGCACACATATACATAAAAATAACTAAATCTTTTTTTTTTTTTAAAGGCTTTTGTCTCCTTCCTCTCTATCAGTGTCCTAGCCCCAGGAGACACCATTGCTTGGGGACAAACACCTAACCAAAGCCAGTTGACCAGAATACATTCTTTCTTCCTCCTCTTCATTCTGTCCTATGGCATCTAATGGGGTTACCATGGGGCAGGCAGCACCAGACATCAGAAGTAGAGAGCCTCTTGAAGATAGTTACACCAGGACAGCTGACCTACTTTTGAGATAGTTACCAT